CCCCAAAACCCCAAAACCCCAAAACCCCAAAACCCCAAAACCCCGACACTCGTCATCCAAGTTGAGTACCTAAAATCTCAAAATTGATTATAACCCCTTAGAGTTTTGTTCGCATATAATTTGACCAGTGCTGTGCAGGAGGACCTTGGAGTTTTGTGTGGATGGAAGAGAGGCTGGGAAGGGCCAAGCGAGTTTAGGAGGAAGAAGGGATTTGGAAGGGGTGGAGGAAGGAGGAAGGAAGGGGGAAGGAATTTTGGGGGTTGAGGGATGGGAAGGTGGGGCTGGAGATGGGCAGAAGGTGGATAGAGTGAGGATTCTTAGGTAATAAGGGATTTTATAGAACATTTTAGAGGGGTGAGGTAGGAAAATTTTCGGGGAATTTTCGGGGAATTAATGGGAAGCTAGATTTTTGTCAAAGATTAATTTGATAAATTTTAAGAATATAGGGTATAGAAGAGATAATATTTAGAATAATTGAGGGTTAATCTTGAAATTTTCTTCATTGAATTTGCTGACTTCTGGTAAAAAGTCCAGACAATTTTCTTTATCAGTTAATTTTTCATAACAGCTCCGAACATGTAGTTGAGAATAAAAGTGAGAGCTATTTTCTAGCATAAGTAGGCATTATCAATTATGTCTATAAAATTAATTGTGGAGTCTCGGCTTGAACTCTCAATCTTGGCCAATATCTTGTTTAATGAAATTCTTCAATAGCATTCAGTTTTGTAAAGATATTTAACTCATATTTGATCGAGACCACACAGAGGTTTGAAAGCCAGGAATGAAGCACTTATTTCTTCAAGATGATCAGACGCTCTAATAGCTTCATATTAAAGCTTATAAGTAATATTCTTTAGAGGGGCTCTTGAAATCTGTTTCTGTAAGATATCGAAATTGAAAGAAATTTTGTCTGAAATTTCTTTGATTATGTCTTTTGAAAAACATTTTTGCAATATAAAATCTTAAGAAAGTCAAATATTGCTTCAATACAGAGCCAATACTATCCAAACAACATCTTAGTTTAACATAATTCTTGATAACAAACTGGTAAACCATGAAATATCCAAATTTCTCAATAATTTGATCAAAACAGCCACTTTTAGACGATCTTTCATTCAATTCAAACCCCTCAATTACACCAATTACCCCTGAACTCTTTCCAACCCTCATTATACTCTCTTTCAGTCCCATTAAGCCCCAAAATCCTTTCACACTCCTCCAAAAAGCCATGCATCCTACTAAAATTTACAGCTACTACTAACTTCCTGTACCTTATTTCCTTTAAAATACCTCCATTCAGTACCTCCTTACAGTAACGCCAGGAGGTAATAATGAGGGGATGTAAACCACAAAATGTCTGGATTACAGCCAAATTGTTAAATTTTTATAGAAGAGCTCATGTGATGTTGGCTGGGTTCCGTTTTAGGTAAGTGAGGTAGGGATCTTGTTAGGGGAGTTTTAGGAGATTTGGGGTGGATTAAGAAGAAATGGAGGATTTTAATTGGTGATAACGGTTCTAGAGCCTGTAATGTCTTTTTGGGTGATTGGGATGGGGTGAATTGGGAGTGGGTCTTGGTCATTTTAGCTGTGATAGCATAGATTTAGGTATAGGTCTGGTTTTTGAGATTTCATCGAAGAGAGATTTTTAAAGACCCTTTAGTTCATAATTCTTTAGAGGTTCTTGGTGGTTTCATGCTATTAGATTTTGTGTTTGAAACTGATATTTTGACAGAGAGTTAAAGTTCGACTAATTAGTTTTAGATTTTGAGCAGATCTCATCAAGAGAGCATTATTTTTGATAATTTTTTCTTTGATGTTATGATAAAGCTATGTTCGAAAGGATATACTCAATGTAAAAGAGTATTTTTAACGTAAAGGTTAAAGAGGACTTCTCAAAATGTGTGAATAATTTTATCTGATATAGTAGAAGCTAATTTTTGGCAAATTTCTAGGCTTATACACTTTAAAACTCTTTGTGTACTCATAAATGCAACATATCAATGCTCATAATCCTGAAAACATCAGGGATGAATACTTAAAATCCAATCTCCTTCAAAATTTACGGTATTAGGTCATTGAGTTTTTCAGATTAACCTTCAGTGAAACTTTTCTCTAGTCAGTTATAATGCACAGATATGCCATTAAACTAGATTTGAGGGGCTGTTTGATGCCTTAAGGTCTGTACCAACTTAATACACGAAACATCTCTCAAAATTCTTTTATACCGTATATATTTATTACCAGAAATACCCAGATTTCAGGTATTACAAAATTTTCAAAAATTCCTGTGAATTGATTTTAAAGTTAAAAGAGTGAATAAATTAATGGAAATTAGGCAAATTAATACTCTGATACTATAATATCAGCATTGCTTTGAGATAATCAAGACAAATCAATGAATTATACATCAGTTACCTGATTCAGGTAATGGGTTTCCTTCCGGTATCTATGAGGTGTTGTTCAGGTACTCTTCAGCTAATTTCTATTCAGGTAATCTTCAGGTAATTTCAGGTAGACATCGGCTATTTTAGTTTATAAATTCTCAAGAGAAAGTAGAATAATCATAAATTAACCATGAATACATCCAACCAAACTAAGAGAGCCTACCAACAAGTTGAGCTCTGGAAAAGGAAAGAACTTATTAATACTGTCAATAAGAAGGAAGAAACAATGAAAGAGTGTGCCAAGAGATTAGGCATCAATTACTGCACAGCCAAGCATATTATGAAGGTCTTCAGAAAGTCTGGCTCATATGAAACAGACCTTATGAAAAAGAAGAAGGAAAAGGACCAAGCATTGAGAGAAAGAGTGCTTAATGATGCTCAATTTGCTGATTATATTAAGTTTGATTACCCTCAGTACAAACAAATGAATCAAGGTATTGAAAGTCATGAGAGTACTTCTCATGACACCGATGAGCAAGTTCCTGAGCAAGTCTCTATGCATAATTGCGGATTCATGGCTCCACAGACGAATCAGCCTAAATTATTTTTGTCAAGTCCACCAATGTTCCCTCAAAACAGCCAGATGCAATTTAACATGTGAAATGATCTAAGAGTTCTCTGAAATTCTCTTGGAGATCAAGTATTCCAAAAATTTGGTCTGTAAACCTTAATAATTCTCTACTAATAACTTTAATCAAAATTTTCTGGTATTAATTTGGATGCTGCTTTGATAGTTTTCACTGAATTATGAGCAAGTACTGGCAATGAAGAATAATTCATAAGTCTGACTATCACCTTAATACCCATTTTACTAATCTGTTAAACCAGGCAGCCTGATGTATGTTCTCTTGGAGCAGTTGCTTCATTTTTAAGGAAATAGATTGCAAAACTGTTAATGGTTCATGACTTTTATTACCTGATTTAGGAGATTATCTCTATCTCATGTTTTACTATTACCTGATTTTATAGTATTTTATTGAACCAATATTCTTTAATGGGCTGGGGTTTTGGGGTTTTGGGGTTTTGGGGTTTTGGGGTTTTGGGG